GGAGGAGGAGGAGAAGCGGGCTACGACAGGGGGGGGGTCGCGCGGATCGCCCCCGTCGCCAGGTCGCCCGGACGGGCGGAGGCGGCGCCCGCGTGCTGAATCGGGGGTCCTGAGGGACGGGGTCCTCAGGGCGAGGCGCCGCAGGCAACGTCAATCCACCCTCGGATCCTGTCCCATCCTTCGGACCCCAGCCCCCAGGGCGCCACCGTTGAACCGCCGAAGGGAGGTGGGAGAGAGAGAGAGAGAGAGAGAGAGGGGCAGAGGGGGCCAAGCCACGTACGCTCGAATATTTGTTTCCACGCCTCCCCCACCCACCCCTTCCCGTTGCGCTGAGTATGTCTCTATCCGCGGGCGCGTGTCATAGCCGACCTGGAGCACCAAAAAGACCCCATCGGGCCATGCGCAATCGAAAAGGGGGAGCTGAGAAGAAGGAGGAGGAAAGAGGAGGAGGAGGAGGAGGAGGAGGAGGAGGAGGAGGAGGAGAAGGAGGACAACGACGAGGACCAACTGCAGCAGCGGGAACTGGAGAGGAAGGCGCAGGAGGAGCAGGAGGACCAGGGGAAGGCGGCGAAGGGGAAAGGACGGGGCGACAACGATGAGGAAGGACTCGGATTCAGAAACGTGGCCTTCAGTGGGGCGAGTACTGCCAACGACGGACGAGAAGCGACGAGCCGAAAACACGGCCCACTTTGCAGCGACAGCACCCTTTTGAAACACCCAAGCTATAGGATTGCTCAAAAAGCAGGCACAATAACAGACGCAACAACAACAAGAACAACACCACCAACAACAGTAATAACAACCACAACAGCAACAACAACACCAACAGCAGCAGCAGTAGTTGCAGCAGCAACAGCAACAGCAGCAGCAGCAGAAACAGCACCATCAGCAACAACAACACCAGCAACAACATACTTATACCGAATTGCAGCAACAACTGCTGCAGCAGCAACAACAACGACAGCATTTATCAGGTTAAGACTCTCCGCTCTTATCTGCTTGCGTGCCATTCAACACAGTATCCCAAGCCCTCGGTACCCGCCCTCTTCGCCTTCGATCGTGCACATGTCCTTTTTACCTTCAACGTGTATGTCGTGCAGCCCCTAAGGCAGGGGATGAGAGGACGGATGGAATGAAGGGACAAGGGGAAGGCGAGTTGTTGAAGCGTGCGTCCTGCATGAATTGCGAGATAATCTCGAGCGATAGCGCGATTCCCAAACACATCGTGAGGAAATCCTCAGCGAGAGCGTGATTCCTGAGTGTCGAGGGCGCGACGTCTGAATAAATGGTGACGAAGTCCCACGCGAGAGCGCATGCTTGTATCATTTGTGAGAAAGTCCCGCGCGAGAGGCGATTTAGGAATACATTGCGAGGAAGTATTGCACGGGAGCCGTTGTTGTTATTAACCAGGGGCCAGGAGCGCAGATTGGTGACACGTCATTTTCCCGTGTGAAAAAATAGGGTGCGAGCCCCAAGGGGGATCAACAATAATCATTCTTCAGAAGTGAGAACTCAAACAAAAAAAAAGAACAACAACAACTGCAGCATAAGCAACTACAACAACAGCAGCAGCAACAGCAACAGCAATAGCAAGAGCAGCAGCCGCAGCAACAGCAACAACAACCACAACCACAACAAGAACAATAACAGCAGCAACAGAGCACTGCTGTCAAATCCTGTGCGTAAAACAATATGCGGAGAGAGCTGGACACATTGCGGACAGAGTCAGGGGAGGGAGGAGAGTAGTATTCATAGCGTGTAAGTGTGAGAGGAGAGGGGGGGAGAGGGGAGTGGGAGAGAGCGATACAGGAAGACAGGAGGACAACGAGAGAAGGATGTGTATACATATGTGTATATATATGAACATATACATATATATATATATATATATATGTATATACATGTATATATATATACATATATATGTATATATCGGAGTAGGCCTGGGGAGCGGGTCCCAGCCGGCGCCCAGGGTTGGCATGAGGCTCCAAGGGCCACCACAACCAGCTCAAGACCGCCCAAGACACCCAGAGTGGGCTCCAAGACCCAAGACGGCGCCAACAAGGGCCAAGAGGCCCCCAAGACGCCCCAAGAGAGCTCCAAGATGCCTCCGAAGAGGGCCCCATGAGGCAAAACAACAAAAAACGCTTGGAAAACGTATGTGGTCCAGCATAACCGAATACCTTCGAGAATAAACACTAGGGGATAATAAAGTTCGGGGTTCAGGGGAAGATAATCAAAGTAGCCCACCAGACCTCAGCATAATCCCGAAGTAAGAGATGATCAAGAGGAGACCAAGCCGAGCACGTTTTGAGACATCCTTGGCGTTTAGTCTTCATAGAAATATCCTCAACAATGGCTTATCTCGCTGGAGACATCCTCGACAAATCCCTTGTTTTTCGCTTGAGACACCGTCACACTATTGCTTATTTCGCTTAAGAAACGTATCGTTTCGCTTGAGACATCCTTCAGTATATGCTTGTTTCGCTTGAGACATCCTCGAGTATATGCTTGTTTCGCTTGAGACATCCTCGGAATAGCTCATCCGCCTCGGTGTCCCTGGATAATCAACCGCGGCGATAATAAACTTCAGGCGGGCGGAGGAATGGAGAAAGCGATATACAACAACAAAAATAAAAAGAAACAATAAGACATGAAAAAGAAAAAGGAACACAATCAAAAAGAAAAGAAAACAGAGGAGGAGGAGAAAGAGAAGGAAACATCTCAAGTTCAAATGTATTAGATTTTATTTACAAGCGCTTAATGAACATTAAAATTTTTAAGTGCTCGTGTAGGGTAGCTCACGTGCTTCATTTTCCATGGATAATCAACCCCAGGGATAAAACAACGTTCAGAAGGGGGGCATGGAGAGAGAGAGAGAGAGAAGAGAGAGAGAGAGAGAGAGAAAGAGAGATACATCATAAAGAAAAAGAAAGGAAGGACTTAAATAGAGAAGATATATTTAAAAAGAAAAGTAGAATGAACCATAAAAAGGATAAAGAGAAGAGGAAAGGAAGATAAAACAAAAAATCTGAAGATTCAAATGTCTTAAATTTTATTTACAAGCGCTTTATGACAATTAAAATTTTTAAGTGCTCGTGTAGGGTAGCTCACGTGCCTCGTTTTCCCTGGATTATCAACCCCAGCGATAAACAAGTTCAGGGCGCCAGGGGGAGGAGGAGGAGAAAGAGATAGAGAGACAGAGAGAGAGAGAGAGAGACAGAGAGGCCAGGAAGGAGAAAGAGATAGAGAGACAGAGAAAGAAAGAAAGAGAGACAGAAAGAACTACAAAGAGACAGAAGGACATTGGCTTCGATTGAGACATCCTGAAACAACGTGTTCGCTTCGCTTGATGTTGTTATCTCAACATAAGAAGGAAGTAACTTCGATGGCGAACTTTTCCCGTGATAATGAAGTTCGGCCTCCGCGCCCCCGCGCCCCCGACCAAACTCTTATTGGTCGACGATAAAAAACTCGAACGACTTGAGGGGGGGGGTACTTTATTCTCATCGGCATGCGGTTATTCGCCTCTGCGTGTGTTGACAGCGTCTC